CACTTCTAACTGTTCCTGGAAAATGTTATTGAATACAATAACCCAATACAGAACAGACCAAGGCAAAGTTATGGTAGCATGGTGGTGCTATTTCTGACTCTCAGGAAAATGTAATTAGATAAACCAAAGCAAAGATATGATAGTTATGAAGTTCTTACTACAGATTAACAACTTGTATATTTAAAAACTTACATAAAACATTTTAAGATATTATTAAATTTTTGTTTCAGCTGGCATATTCTATTATTGGACTTCTTCAATATTGGTGCAATGAACATAACCTCGTTGATATGTTTGACGTTAAATGTAAGCTTAATATACGTCAGTGTTGCCATATACTCAAATATTTCCCACTCTCACATATAAAATTATTGGCAAGATTTATATTATATGAAATGAAAATGTAAAATTGAAAAATACATATATAATTAAACAAAAATGTGAAAAATATATATATTTTTACCTATACATAGGTATATAATTCATTAAAATTATACCTATAAATATTATAAAATAAAATTATCTTGCATTTCTACATTTAAAAATACTTATATAATAAAAACCATTATAATTATGCTTAAAAATTAATAGTTTAGAAACTTTATAAATTACAGAATAAAGTAAAGTTAAATGAAAAAAAATTAGGTTAAACAAAAGTATTTAGCTATATTTAAAATAAAAAATACTATTTTATGAATGCTTTTTAATATGAATTCAAAAATTGTGGCTGTGGCGTGTACATTTTTACATTTTACAGAAGTACAACACTTCACATTTACCTAAGTATATACCTAAATACAAATGTGAAGCATTTTACTTCTGTATAAGTTTTTTAAAGCATATATAACTTCGTCAAAGTATCTTTCTATTTTAAACACTCCTATACTTTATACAAAAAAAAGTGGCAACACTGTGTCACACAAACATATAGCTGGATGCCAGGTTATGTTCATTGCACCAATATTGAAGAAGTCCCTATTATTTATGGTAGTTATGGAATATTTTAATCAAGATGATAATATTCCACCCAATTAAAACAAAATTGTATTCCAAATATCACATCCAACCTTTTTGTTTAAGCGATAAATTACATATCTCCATTGAGATAAGGATACCAACAAACAAGCTGTTGGTAATTTAATTTTATTATTTAAAAATAGAAAACGAATAGTTCGAGAAGATCAATAGATTGCTGGGTTCAATGCCATGGAGATAACAAACAAAAAAATGAATCTGGATTTATTAAAAGAAAAACAATGCCTAATGTATTTCCATTTAAAAACTTTTCTGTGGAAGCTATTTCCGTACACGTTTTTCAAAACCGGCACCGAAGCGAAGCAATTGAACTGGGCAAGGTCATTAAAGTTACGAAATTTCTTTTACAGTTGTATCTTAAAAAATATTTCATATTTGGCAAAACTTTTGAACTTGTCAAGTTTAAAAATACAAATGAAAATTCGCTATGGAATTAACTGAATCACAATGGCAGCCAAACGCTTTTAGTAGTTTGGTAAGAGCACGCCACCTTCATTTGCCGGCCATTGGAAATATCACTTACTTTTATTCATCTTATAATGCAACTAAATTGACGGTAATACACTATTAATATGTATAATATAATATTACTTACTTGAAATAAGCTTCTACAGCGCCGAATTGTAAATTAAACACAAACCCCGCACATCGAGGTTTAGGGAACGCTTGGCTGTGATATGGCGGGACGAAATGACGTTTGATCGTTACAGGAAATGGACAACGGACATAGCGGAAATACCAATGACGTATTTGATGTCACGTGATTAGAGGTGGAAACTATAAACCCACGATTGAAATTGATGTAGTTTACTTTAAATTTACGAAACTACGAACATCCTTGTGCAACTTTCTTTTGATTAACAATTATATATGACTTTATCTTTTATTTGCCTTAAATTGAAAATATAGGTTCTCAAACTATCTTCTTGTGAAATGTCCATTATTTTTATATGTAATTAAACTATAATTGATTATAATGACAACTAAATTTTGAACTGCAGAAAATTGAATGGAATACCACGGTTCCTAGTCCTAGACTTACATGATACAGACAGCTGACTGGCCTTTGGCCAAATTTATAAACCTCCAATTGTAAAAAAAGCGATTGCCATCTCTATACGTAAAATCTGTTTATCTATCTGTACATAGTTGTCAATTTGCTAAAAATGATGTTTACGCAACTTATGGAAGACATTTTAAATATATTTGATCAAACTGTTAATTTTGTCATAATATAACGATACTATATAATTATTGGTAGAATTCTATATTTCTTTAATCGTACTGTAATGAGAAAATACAGTTACATTGTATATATTATATTATTATTATTTAATTTTCAATCAATATCAATTTATCAATAATATCACTGATAAATAATCAATGATATTATTTTGTTTAGAGTAATTGGATTTGGTTTAGAAAGCTTAATGTTTAGGCACAGAATAATAAACAATTTATATACAGAATTTTAGTTGAATATAGACATGGCTACACCGCTGTCACGTTAGTGGTCTGTGGCTGTCACCGATGAAAAAAAAAATTGTTCCGTTTTTTTGACGAACACATTTTTCAGAGTATATACCACAAATTTTCACATATTCAAATGAATTTTTACTTTTATACAAGGAAAGTGTGTAAAAGGAATTTTTATTTACAGTCTGTCCCAAACTCTTCTTTCAGTGCGTCACTAATTTTGACGTCATATATAAATCTGACAGTTGCAGGATCATAATCGGCTAAATGTGAAAAGGTTATTTTTTTCTAATATTTATATTATTTATCTATATATGGGTTATTTTTTTTTTAAATGTGGAGTAAAAACTTTAAAATAATTCAAATTTTTATTTAATTTACATATTAGAGGTCCCGTCCTGTATAAAATTTTTTATGGCGCATTATATTGGAACTGCAGTCTGTCATAATTCCTATTATATACATTTTAAGGAAAGTGCTTAATTAGCTAAGATTTGGTTATGGATTTATTATTATTTATTACAAACACTATGGAATTGGAATATTTGTTTATTAAAAAGAGCGCTTCTTCGTCCTAGAATCTTTTAACAGTTGACTGCGAGATAAAAAAAGGCATCAAAGTAAAATTCCTGTGATAAAATATAACATCGATTGAAATCAGTCATATTTGGATAAGTAATTTTCCAATAAGTTTCTGTGGCAGCCAATGGCGTAATTTTGTGAAGATTTATCATTAAATAGTGGAAATAGTTTAAATAGTGAAGCAGTTGATTTTTCAGTTAAGGATTCCCCAAACCAACGCGAAACTTTCGTTTCGCGAAGGCACGGCGACTAATGCAGGTGTTCAGACAAATTTGGGCGGAATCCGCAACGGTCGCGGCAGATCAGCGTTGTTTTCATGAAACGCTGCATGCACGGTTTTTTCCGCTGCAGTTATAGTTTCGCGTGAATTAAAATGGCTGTTACAGAAAAACTAATTGAAATTGTGAAACAATATCCTATACTTTATGATTTAAAGGACGAAGATTATAAACATACAACAGAAAAGTTTCATTGTAGTTTAAAAAAAATTGGAGTTTCAACAAGAACAAGAAGCAGCTGGCTTTTGCACTTCCAATTCAAATACTAGATGTTATTCTCGGAAATACATGAAAGTAGGTCCGCAACCACAAACACGACGGCCACTTGTTATAGAAAACGACGTCATCGAAGCAGTTAACGAATTTGTATACCTGGGAACGCTCGTCAATACTAAAAATGACATTACCGCAGAATTTGCACGGCTAGTAGATGCTATTTTGGGCCTAATCTCCTTTTTAAATCTACAGTTATATCAAAAAATACAAAAGTAAAACTCTACAAAACAATAATACGCCCAGTCCTAACATATGGTTCAGAAACCTGGACTTTAACAAAAAGCAATGAAAACCTGTTAGGATGGGTGGGTAGGCCATGTAATGCGGATGGAGCAAACCGACCCAGCTAGAAAAATGCTCCTTGATAGACCTATTGGTCAAAAAAGAAGAGGAAGACCCAGAACAAGATTCCTAGATAACCTAGACCAAGATATGAGAAATATGGAAATACATGCTTGGCGGAGGAAGGCGATGGATAGGGACGACTGGAAGAGAATTCTTGGGGAGGCTAGGACCCACACAGGGTTATAAAGCCAAAATGATGATCTTCTCCTCGGAGTAATACACAGTTAATACCAATACTTTCCCCTATATGTGTCGATACTAACAATACTGAATGTATGGAGCTACCTATTTTTTCAGTTTCGGCAAGTGCCAATAGTAGAAGAGCTTCTTCTTCATCAGGCGAAGTCATTATGTATTTGTAAACTACGAATAAACGACTAAAAATATAATTTGTTCACATTTGTATGGCGAACAGTCGCGTCGGGTTTTCAATGTGGGGAAGCCTTGTCCGCTAACGCTCCGCCTGCGAATGGTCCGCAACGAAAAATTCGCGTCTCAAAAGTTTCGCATTGGTGTGGGGAATCCTTTAATCTACCAGTTCCGATATCCAGATGAAATAATGTTAATGGAGTTTAGTTACAAAACAAGATACTGAATGTAAGGTTACCTTCTTTTTTATGAATACCATAAATGAATATTATATTTCAAACAATCCACAATCTGATTCAGAATCTGATTAATTAAAATCAATGAGTACAGTAGATATGTGGCTGGTATCAATTATATCTTGCATTTCAAGAAAATGTCATGACCAACATGAGATAGCATAGCTAAGATGGTTAGGGTATGTTCAATGTTAAAATAATATGAATAATCACAGTGTTTCAAGTTCCTGAATCATACATATGAAAAGAAGATAAAGTATATGAATAAGAAAACACTCGGAGTATAATTTCAACAGATGAATACAGAGTTTTATTGATTTTTGTTTTCATTTTATATTTGATTAAAAAATAAATTAAACATTATCAATGACTAATGAAAATGAATAAAATAAAAATACCAAAATAGTTTAAAGAATTTATTGCAAAAAGGTAACATCCTACACAATAAATAAATTCATAAAATTACAAAGCCTTTTAGGTTTATCATAAAATAATAACTTTCAATGTCTTAACTCCCTAAAATAGCTTTCTATTAAAAAGACTAGGTGCCCATTTGGAAGCTTTTGAAGCCCCTTGTTCTCTTTTTGCAGCAGCTTGAGCCTCCATTTCTTCTAAAAGCTGTTTTTGTTTTTCCCTGAAAGTGGCAATAGGATCATCAAAATGACTGTAGTGTTGTAAAACTTCTCTTACATCTTCTACATCATTATCAGCAATGGTTTTCAGAAACGAAGCTAAGTCAACTAGTGAGGAATCATCATCATTTCCAGACCACCTTTTAACATTTAATAAATTTTCTGGATTGAATTTTACATTTTTTGCATTCCAATCTACACAAATAACTTTAGACAAATCTCTATTAAGATTGTTTAAACTCTTTACATGATGACCTCCTGAAAAATGAGTAGCATCTCTTACCAATCTATAAGCAATTATATTCTTAGGATCTATGGCATCTATTAATGGAAATACAGTCATCCCTTGTTCAGCAGTATATATTATTATTTCATAGGATCCATGCAATGATTCTAAAAAATAGTCTAACATTGGACGTTTCTTAAACCTCCATCCAGTGCTGTAAGTCCAGTCAGGATGCACAAGTACATCTGTTAATTCTAATACTAATGTATATTTTGGTTGTAAATAAGGATACTCTAATGGATCTGGTAGTAATTTTTCTCTTGATGGTTCTTTAATCAGTTTTCTATAGTAATCTAACTCTCTGTAGGTTCTAATAATGTACTGTAGAACAACAGGCTTATCAGCAAGATCATCTTTTATGGGATTACCATGAGAATCCTTTTCAGGACTTCCTAGAGTAAATATAACGTAAGTTCCTATACATGTGAAAGAGATTCCAAGAAATGCAAGGGTAAGTTTCATTGTTCTCCATGAATTTTCCCTCTGTTTCTTTCGCTCTTCTTCTTCAGCTGCTTCTTGTGCCTTATCATTATTTTCTTTCAATAAACTTCCCAAAGGAGATGTGGGTTTTGTATCTTCTATTTTAGATGTGGATTTGGTACTTTGACAGTAGAACACACATTGATTACAGCTGTATATGTTAATCTTAACTAAAGCACAACCGGATTTATTGTGATTAGCTAGTAAATCAGAATGATTTCTAGCAATATTGCTGAATAATTGGATTGATTTTCTTGTAAACCTCATCATTTTGTAGCAAAGTCTTTTTGTTCAGATAATTTTACTGACACACGGCTTAGATTTTCATTTTCCACAATATCACAAACACAAAATTACAGTCTTATTATTGGTTTTGTCTTTATAAATTAGGGCAATATGTTACTAATGCAAATTCAGTCTACGCGTATGTAACAGGTCTCTAAAGTAAAAATGCACCCTATTTACATTTTTGAACAATGTTTAGTTCTAGGAACTTGAAATTATATCACTAAAACTGCGAAATTTCCGAATAAAATATGAATATGAAGTATGCCGTAATGAAGGTTATGTACACTTTCTTCTTCTGTGATTTTAACCCTATGTTTTAACCTTAATCGCTTAATCCACTCCACCACACATTATGGTTAACGACACCGTGGTTCTGTAGCTACTTTTAAAAATCATTAATTTTATTCCCAAAATATAAAAAAAGATACATTTTTGAATGAAGCAATTTAATTCAGCAACGCGGATTGCGGATGTATTGCTGAATTTAATAGTGGAAATGGAGATAATTCATTATAACCTCAATATTTGCATTTTATCTTTTAGCAGAAATCATTTTTATTTGTATTGTACATATTTTAGTTTTAGTAATGTTTAAATTGCCATCCTGTCATAAATTTCTGACAGTAACTAAATATTTTCATAAATTAAGAAAAATGTCTTCATTAAATAAATGTAAAGTTGCTGTTTGTCAATTTACGGCTTGTAATGATAAATCGAAAAATTTGGTTACGGTGAAGCGCTTAATTGACGAGGCAGTAACAAATAATGCAAAAGTTATATTCTTACCAGAAGCATGTGATTTTATTGCAAACAATAAGGACGAATCTAGGAACCTAGCAGAAAGTTTGGACGGCGAATTGGTAGATGAATATAAGAAAATTGCAAACAAAAACAAAATTTGGCTCTCGATTGGAGGTTTTCATGAAAAAATTAATAACAATACTATGTACAACACTCACATATTAATAGATGATACTGGAAACATATTGTCTTTGTACAGAAAAACACATTTGTTTGATGTGAGTATTCCAGAAAAAAATATATTATTACAAGAATCGGATTATTGCACAGCTGGTTCAGCAATTATACCACCCGTTGAGACACCTGCTGGACTTATAGCATTATCAATATGTTATGATTTACGATTTCCAGAAATTAGTACTCTCCAAACAAAATTCGGAGCCAATATTTTGACTTATCCTTCAGCATTTACAGCAACAACAGGTTAGTAATATAGGTAAGTAATACTTATACTCCTGCTATATTTTTGTTCCTATGAAGGCTGTGAAGTGTTCATACAAGTTCCCAATAAAACTTAAAGATCTTATTATTCAAAAGAAAAAAGATCATCTGAGGTTTAAATTATTTAAATCAAACGAGGACGACTTATTGTTTTCTAATCTGCATGATCAATGTAAAGTTGAACATACACTTTGTTAGAAACATTTTTCGTCTCTTAGACAAAATGTTAGTAATAACCCCAAGGAATTTTGGGGATACATTGGCAGACTTCGTAAATCTTCGAATAACCCCCAAGAAATGTATCTCTGTAACAGAAAGACACAGGGCAATATTGAAATTGCTAACCTTTTTGCTGAGTTCTTCTCTGGTGTATATGAGAAAGATAAAGGTGCTCCCATTCCAGATTTTGAAAACTGTGTCAGACACATTGACCCTGTAAACTTAATTCAAGTTGACACTATATCAGTGTTTGATGAATTAAGAAAACTTCCAAACAAATTCTCCTAGGGGCCTGTTGGAAACCCACTGGTATTATTAAAGCACTGTATGCTCTCTTACTATGTCCCTAAAATGTCTTTATAATTTATCTCTTATGACTGGTGAGTTCCCTGCTTTCTGGAAGAACAGTTATATTGTACCCATTTTTAAGTCAGGTAAAAGGGAAGATATTGAAAATTACCAAGGAATTTGTATACAGTCAGCAATCCCAAAACTTCTCTACAAACTAGTGAATTCTCACTTATTAAAACTAGCAAATAATATAATAATACTCCAACAGCATGGCTTTCAAAGGGGGAGGAGTATAGTATCAAACTTGTTGGTCTACCAAGATGATATATTGGTATTCATTCATTCATATATAAATGAATTAAAATTGAGCATTGGTAAGTGTTGTGTTATTACTTTTCACAGGAAGCAAACAATTTTAAATTACGATTAGAGCATTGATAACACTCAGCTGTCTAGGCAGGACTGTGTTAAGGATTTAGGTGTTTATTTTGATTGTAACTTAGCATTTCGTAAGCATCTAGAGGTCACAGTAAACAGCGCATTTAAACAATTAGGGTTTATAACTAGAAACACTTCTCAATTTTCATGTTTTGTTTTACCAATTCTTTTTAATAGTGTCATTCGCTCCAGACTAGAATATGTAATAGTTGTATCGGGACTTTACTATCAAACATCTATAGACAAGCTTGATCATGTTCGGCATAAATTTGGTAAATACTATCATTATCGTAGTGTTTTTCATGACCTCTCTGTCCCATACAGTTATAGTATGATAGCTGATCCCTTGAAAATGGTTGGACTACAATTTAACTCTTAATTCTCCCTAAATCTTTGTTGTTCAGGCATAGAAAAGTTTTAAGTATGGTTTTATGGTGTATTTTAGATTTCATTGTTCTCTTTACTGATATAGTTTTCGATTAGGCTATTTTTTCATTTCTTCTTTAACGCCAGAGTTTTGCGTGAATTTTTTGAAGCTTATTCCATTAATTTAATTTATGATTACTGTTTTACTTTATCCTTACTAGTTTTTAGAAATTTGCATCATGTTTGCAGGTCCTGCTCATTGGGAAATTCTGTTAAGGGCTAGAGCAGTTGAAAATCAATGCTATGTTATTGCTGCAGCTCAATATGGGCAACATAATTCAAAAAGAACCTCTTATGGACATTCAATGATAGTGGATCCTTGGGGCGTAGTAGTAGCAGAATGTCCAAAATATAATGAAAATAATCCAACAAATGAGAGTATTGCTGTAGCTGAGGTAAACACAGAGTATGTTAAGAAAATCAGACAAGAAATGCCTGTACAGAAACATCGTAGAACTGATATTTACAATCTTAATTTGCTGCCAAATAATAACAAAAACGATGAAAAAAGCTCATATACTTTTGCAGATAAAATTATACCTGCTTCTACAGTCTTCTACAAATCCAATTATTGTTATGCATTTACAAATATTAGATGTGTTGTACCAGGTCATGTGCTTGTGGCAACTCTAAGGTGCGCTCCAAGGTTGTTAGATTTAACTCAAGAAGAAATTGCAGATTTATTCCAAACAGTGATTAAAGTGCAGCGGGCAATGGAAGTGGAACATGATGCAGGATCAACAACAATTTGCGTTCAAGATGGCAAATTTGCAGGGCAAACTGTTCCACATGTTCATGTACATATTTTACCAAGAAAGCTGAACGATTTTAAACAGAATGACGATATCTATTGGGAGTTGGCAAAACATGATTCAGAAGAAAATGTTCAACCAATCAGATCAATTGAGGAAATGTCTGAAGAAGCAAGGAAGTTAAGGACACATTTTGATATTTAAATGTTTTGAAAACCATTTTTTTTGTTGACTTGTATCAACTGAAAAATGTGATAATATGAAATATATATATTTGTTTTTAATTTTGTTTTTTATTTAAGACACTCATCTTGCCATTCATAATCAGGGGTGGATCTAAGGGGGGCGATGCCCACTCTCTCAAACCAAGTGATTTAATTTTTTAATTATATAAAATTATGAAAACATTCAGTTTTCAGTCATCATTTATTTAAAGGGATGGCCATTGGAGTCACAGTCTTCTCAACCTTGTAAATATGCATGCACGAAATATTAAATGGAACCTAAAAACATACACCATTTTAATTTCATAGGAAATTAGGAGACAGGGTAGGATTTGCAAGTGCTAATGATATCAAGTATTTCCAATAAACATGACATATTATGTTTCTCTAAGTAATCTTAAAAATTCCAGTTAGTCATGGCAATGTTTTATCTCACATTGAGAGATTTAATAAAAATGCACGACTTCCTGTCTTTAATGCTGATAAGAATTGCTGTGTAAAAATGTAAAACATTTACATTGCACTAATTTGGCTTATAAATAAACCTTTTAAGAACTGAAAAAAATCTAGAGGACCAATAAATAAATAACAAATCAATATATGATAGAAAAATAAATGGATTTTGGTTTTAAATTCAGCAAAATATGTTTATACGAGACAAAAACCTCAAATTCCTTGGGAAAAATATTTCCATGAGATTTTTTTCATAATCGCTGTCATAAAATACCGCAGAATAATGTTCAAGAGGTCGTCCATACATAAAGTGGTCCTAATTTATTACACAGTTTTGTATAAATCCATTTTTAGGTTGTGATAAGGGTCTCAAACAACTAAAAACAAAGTTTTAAAATCAAATAAGCCCAAACGAAAGTATCAGAAACTGATAGAACAAGGTTACACACTTTTAAAAGTGAATTTTTTAAATTCATTAATTTGTCATAAGTGTACAAAACATGTTATTTGAAAAAAAAAATATCACAATAAACATAATATAACTTATATTTTTAGGATGTCACTGTAAAATGTAAAAAACAACTTGAAACGCACTGAACATAAATAGTACCTCACTATAGAATATTAAAAACAATTGTTCACAAAAAAATAATAAAAATATTAAAGCTATTTCTCTAACGCAAAAAACTAGTTTGTCTCTGTCTCGCTAAGATAACACACTAAAGAGAACTGCATGTTTTTAGCAATGCCTGATATTATTGTTTTGTTCAATTGTTATGTCAGGTTCACGACATTATGAATTTTCTTTACCAGGTTATTAAGAAAACCATATAACATAAAATTATGTATTTATTAGAAAAAAGATATAAACCTATCCTTGAAATGGAAATTCTCACAGTATTACATAATTTATAGATATAATACACGAAATATTGTAAGAACAGCCACCATCAGTGAAATATTAAAAACTAAATGTAGTATTACATATCTTCTGTATCTGATTCTGAATCTGCTTCCATTGCTTGCTTAGCAGCCTTTTCTGCATCAGCAAAGACTGACTCAGGCACTTTGGTATGTAAACCATTTGTATCTTTGCATACCCATGAAAGCTCCAGTTCAAAATTCTTATCCTTCAATTCATCATGGACCAAATAAATGCTAGAATATACAATACATTCATTAATTATTTTAACAAAAATGATAAACTGTTTTTTATAATTCAAGATATTTATGTAATTGAAGGCAAGAGAATAATGGGACACAAGAAAATGTCCTGGCTCTGAAACATAAGGCAATGGACAGGGATTAACAACATACAATCTCTGATACATATTGCAAGAAATAGAGAATTAATGGAAAATGTGATCGCTAACATCCATTAGTGGATTTGCATCTGAAGAAGAAGAAGATGTAATCAGCAGTATGATCACCAGTGAAATAAATACATAAAGGATGAAATAGCACGGAAAAATATTGCAAATACTGGATGAAGAATGAGTGGATACCATGAAATTAAAGATGAAGAGGGAGATCAAATATACAATCAGGTTCACATGAAAGATTTGCTAACTTTACTTAAACACAGGATATTACCTATATTTATGTGATCCTAAATTTTCAGAAAGATTTTTATATTTAGATCTCATGAAAATGATATTTTGCATATTTTAATATTGATGGATATCCCCTATAAAAGATCACAGGTAAGTAATGTATTAGATAAAAAATATTGAAATGCCTACTCACATTTTGGCTGCTTCTTTAACAAGTTCCTTGCATGTTAAATTTCCCATCTTCAATTTTTCTATTTCAGTCTTTGCAGACTGTTTAGCTTTTCCTGTAGCACATCCAAAGTATCCCTAAAATTTATAATGAAAACTTCAAAATATCAAGCAGAAGACATACCATACATAGCTAACTCCAGATGGATCAATCAAATACATAGATGGGTCATTATCTTCGTAACTGGACAATATGACACTGCAACCAAATGGTCTGACAGCACTGTATAAAGTGTATGCATGCATGTACATGCTTACTCTATCATTTAGATATTTAAGAGGAATATTTGATCCATATTGGTGCCTATAATTTGATGCTTCTTTTCTAGCAATCTCAACTATCTGCCTTGCATCAGCTATTAAACCTGAAAATGCCTAAAATACAAAAAACTTATTGTGAATATACAAAAGTAGTTAAATTAGGTCTTAGTTTCAGTACTTTAGAGAATAATTTTCAGTAATAAATTCACAAATGAAAACCCACCATTCCTATGTGTTTATCAATATTGAAAATTCGTTTGTTTGTACTGGGTTCATGTAATTTTGACATAATAAGCTTCTCAGCAGCTAATACAATTCCGTCTGTACCTCGGAGGCCTATTACAGTGCCACTATTTTCAACTGCTTTCATTGCATATTCAACTTGAAAAACTCTTCCATCAGGAGAGAATTGGGAAGCTGACAAATCGTACTAAAAAAACATCATTAAAACAAGTCTTACAACTAAAATTTAATACGAACCCCAGTTCCAATAGAACTCATTTTGATTTTCTAATATAAAATTAACACTACTACAAAATCCGGCAAGTCGTAGTGATTTGCTTTTTCACGAAATTGATGTTGACGACGTTGACATTTGACAAATTCCCATTTCTGTCTTTTCCAAATTATGTATCTATCCACTAAATATGTTTAAAAAATTTATTAATTCCAGTTCTAGTCTTCGAAACTATTCAATGTACATTATAAACCATAATGATTCCAGTATGAATAGTACCTATTAAAAAATTAATAACCTGGACAATATAAACAAATATTTTGCAATATTTCTCTTCTGTATCACTTGTCATTGTTTTGACATTCTATTTCTATAACTTGTTTAGGAATAGTTGTCAACAAGTTTGTTGTTAAAAATACCGAATACAAAGGAAAGATGTGTACGGTTAATAATGATAAAGGAGAAATAGAGATTTATAGATTACCAGTAAATGCCGAGGAATATGTTATTAATGACTGGACAATTAAATACACAAAATCTCACATTCTTCATTCAATTTGTGCAAATACTGAAACATGTAGCTCTAAACCTGAAGAACGATGTCTCTTATGCTTGTAAGTTTTTGTCTTCGTGTATGTATTCACTACTAAAGTTTACATCTTAACAAATCGTATTTATTTCAATAAATATAAAATAATGTTTACAGCAATTTTTACTCACTATCATACTAATGGAGGCCATACACGTTAGGGTTTGCATGATGGTTATAACCTTGCATGCATAACTGACAGGCAAGCCCTAGCGTGTATGTGATAAAACCGTACAGTTATCCGTGCATGTACATGCAACAGAGCAAATATGAAAATTCATATTTTATGCTTCTCGGTTTTGCTTGCCTGCGAGCATACCCTAGCGTGTGTTGCGTCCGGGAGCTTGCCTGTCATAGTTCTCATAGCATCACATATTTCAGGTATTATTCACACCAAAGTCTGAGGTGATATAATAGCAGAATAGTTGAGAACACTCATATCGTCATATCCCAGCGAAAAGTCACTAACTGACATTTTGTGAAAAAATTAATTAACTTGGCCGATCACATAAAATTCATCATAGCTTTCTATTATAAAAATCACTACATGATAAATGTGGTTATAAATGGCTATTTTTGTTTGTTAAAAAATCACCAACTCGTTAATACAGAAAATATTAAGGAGTCAAAAATACCTAAGTGACTTTTTACTACTTATTTAACTACTTATGTAACTTTTTACATACGAACAAATTGTAAAGATAGGCGTCAAAACTCATTAATGGTACCTACTTAGTGACTTTTTCCAGAATAATAAATCACTGATGTGTTTGATTTTACACTTCTATTTCTTAGTTATTGATATGCAGTTAGTGAGTGAACACGTATTATTTCGCTAAAAAAATATTCCTTGGTGACATTTCTTGTTATATATTGTTATACCAACTGATTTTTGAAGTTTAATAGTAAAAATATAAGTTCCTAATCTTTAAAACTGATAGAACTTGCCTTGAACAATGTAAGTACAATATTATTTATAACTTTACTATTGACATAAAACTTGGAATTAGCCATAAGGGAAAAACGTATCTATTACGTGTATCAATTTTAGGAATCAAAAAGGTACTATGAATCTGCTTGTACTAGCAAAATGGTGCAATCTGATATAGTTTTAGATGACAATACATCCATGATTTTAAATGAAACGGATGTATGCAACTTGGTAAGTTTGTTGATATTAATTTATATGTATGTATTTATAAACTCTATGAATTTTAAGGATTTGACAAGTAATCATAATATTATGTTGACATTCAACAAGATTTTGCAGGCAGAGCAAGTTATGGAAAAGGAAGTCTGTATGCATTACAGTAAGATTGATTATTGTAGGAAAAATACTCACAGATGTTACTTAGATAAAAAAATGTCTATTAGAAAAATGTTTTCCTTGTATACCGTCCATTGTAATGAGAATAATCGAGTTCCGGTAAGTCATTAAAAGTACAGAAAAAATTTTTGCGAGTGTTACAATTTATCATTTTTCGTGCCAAAAAAGGATCAATGCACTCTATGTAATAAATTTAGGGATGCAAAACGGATAGTTTCTGTAACACCTGAATTGGAAAAAAACATACAACGCCCACTTAAAATGAAAAAGGCAGGCCACAATTTCTAAAGAAGAAGATAAGATCAGATCTGCAAATGATCCAACATTTATGTCTGCAACGCTTGACTTACAGAGTGTTCTTCAAATACCGTCTGGTAAAGAGTCTCTGTTATATTACTGTCGTAAACTTTGCCTGTATAATTTCACTGTTTACGAGTCACGGTTTCCAAATGAGCAGAAATACCTAGAATCCGGACATTCTTTCATGGAAGTTGACAGCATGCATAGTGCCATTGAAAGGGAAAAAAAGGCATGTGTCTGTTAATTCTGTTATAGAGTGGATAAACATAATGAAAAGATCAAACAGAAAAAGAAGCTCCGCTAATCCCTACCACGTCAAACAGCTGCATTTTTCCGATATGTTGGATCTTAAAGATCTCTCAAAACGCGCAATTAAAAATCCTCTGAAAGATGAGAATGGTAACACAGTCAGATGGCTTGAAATTAAATCTTTACGATATGAAAAATCAAATACAGACATAATAAAATTTCGGTACAGCTACACAGGGCCCTATATTGAACTGAACGTACGCGGAAGAGGTCGGAAAAATTGTGCGAATGAAAGAAAAAGAGCTTACAATCAACAACTGCCTATTAGTAACAAAAAAGGTGGCTTTAATGAAATTATGTAAAAAAGAAATTATACCAGAGAAACTGCATGAATGGTATGAATCTCTACCAGCAGCCAATAATATATCAGATACAATAACCGAGCCAGCCGTTGAGGATGACTAAAAAGAGGAACTTTTTTATTATTCTTTTTTATTATAACTTATTACGATATATTATGTAATAAATATAATAATATGTAATAATTATATTATACGTAATAAATAATTATTACTAAAACTCATTATTGTTGTTTATGCAAAAAATCACTAACTGATACTATTGCACAAAATACATAGTAAAATATCTTCAAAGTATTAGTAACTTTAAATTAATAAATCTAAGAGCAGTAAATACACATTAAAAAAGTTTGTTATAGAAAATTTTAAAAACCTGATTTATAGTGAAGATTTTATCTTTATCTTCAAATATCTCCATAACATCAAAATGTTAGTTAGTGACTTCTCGCTGGGATATGACGATATGTTCTTACTGTTGCAAGAAATCTTAATGTTACTGCTAGTCTCTCATGTGCTGATATTGCTTTCCTCATAACAGTATCTTGTTTTTGTATTAACAGAGTAATCAATGATAACAGTTTTAAATAAAGTTTTTCATCCATGAGTAAATAATTATTGTAAGTAATCTGTTTGTTTAAATCTCAATTCATTTATCAAGTTTACATTGGATAAATGATATCTTTTTAATAACCAGCGTTTAGACCATTCAGTGCAATATCTCTTTTTCTTTCTTTTCTGAAGAATAAGTGTCAAGCCAAGTACAGCTATCACATCATTGTCATCCATTGTAGTTTGGTAGGTATATACTACACAAAGTACCATAGGCGTTCTGCATACACCAGCACATAGAAGAGTTAATGGCAAAACTGTGCATGCAAACCCTAACATGTATGTGTTATGGAACTTGGTTATACCTTTAGGTTATGCATGCAAGGTTAAAACCATCATGCAAACTCTAACGTGTATGGCCTCCATAACATTACCACCTTTGTATTCCACTTTTAGCACTATGTTCCAAAAAAATTGAGTGTTTTTCACGCAACATTCACTAATATATGATACTTTGTGTTATTGTGTGATCACTAAAATAGTCAATAAGAAAATATTACAATTAACTTTTCTATTAAAATTTCTAAATCTGACATGCCTATTTCACTTGTTACATACCATTGGGCACACTTACCATTAAGGATATTAAATTATATTACTCTGATTTTAAGTAATAGTTAGATTGTGATTGGAAGAATTATATTATACAGTGGGACCTGATTAAATCAGACAATTTGAGGGGAATATTCCTAACAGGCTCGTAGATGAGCATAGTAGTGGCTGTAAGAGCTGTACACCTAATTTCACGCAGTAAATAGAACCAATACTTTTTATGTGAGGTATTAGACAAGTGTTAAGTTGAAAATCATTTGCTTGTCTATTGTATTGCATAGTTTCAATTACTGCTTGGGTTCTGGTGTGTACATAACGAATCCTACACCCTTATATTAGTCTTCTTAGAAGTAATATAGAGAACAGTGTATGCATATTCTTAAATACTAAGTAAGGTACTTAAGTAGTTATTATTACTTACATGTGTATTGATATATCTGCGTAAATGAAGTAAATCTAAGCATGTTTACAAAATGGTAATTTATATATCTTGTGTTTATAATTTAGGTACAACAATGAACTAGAGCTACCACATTTACCTGAAATGGTATTTCCTAATAATAAGTTAAATCTTAACCATAAGTCAGGATTTTCAGTAGAATTCAATGCGTTGGATGCTTTAAAAAGTGTCAGTAATGGAAAACAGTCAATAAAAGTTGCTCATTCTGATGCATGGAAAGATTCAAGGTAAGGAATTAATATGGGTGTATTTTGGAGATAGTAGATTGTAGATAAAGGTGTTGTTTGACCTCCTAGATCTTCCACAGTGATACTTGAAAATTTTTTTGTGAATATATCAAATTTTGTGGTTTTTGGATATTTCAGAGGTAACATAGCATCTGCTATGGTACCTATTTTAGATCAAGTACTTGCTTTATAACAGGTACTTAAATCTTTTAAATGCCATACTGCTTATCACTTGATCTTTTTATGTCGTAGCTGGGGTTTATTGTGGTTTTACTGACCACTCCTCTTCATCTTCGAAGGTGTTGCCAGTAACACCTTTTGTGAGCATTCACTTTCAGTATAACTGGAAGATACTTCCAGTATAACTAAAATATTAATTATTATACTTAAAATATTTTCTTTAAGTTTGTCATGACTTGTAATGTCCATAAACCAATTTTAATAAATATTGTGTAAGTAGTTTCTGATATAGATAGTTTACGCTCGTTGCTTCTTTGTATGTGACCAAAAAATCTGTTTTTGTGCTTTAACGTAAATTCTAGAGAAGTATCTATTTTCTTGTATCTGTCTTTTGGTTGTTTTTGTATAAATCTGTAAAATGTTTTTCTCCCAATCTACTGCATTTCGTCACTACATAATTTTTAACCTTACTATTAATGTAACAGCTACAAAAAACTCAGCAGATTGTAAAAGAGATATTTATTAGCCAATCATTTTGGGAAATCATATTGGGAAAGTAACTGTTTTATTCATTGTCATTATTACTGTAATGAATGATGTAAAATTAAGGCCAATGAAGATCTATCTATCAGTCTATAAATTGTTTCTCTAAACAAGACTTCTTTTGTTTGGTTGTTAGGCATGGAACTGGTCGTGGACATGGACATTGTTATCGATTTATTATTTAATCTTCACTATATTCTCGAGATTATTGACAGTGTAACGACATAACCTAAGGGGTTCTTATACACTCATCATTAATATTGACCATTTAATTTTTAAATAACAATTTTTAGGGCTCCAGAAAATTTAGAAGAAAAAATCAAACCTTTTGACTGGACGTTTAGCTCCGATTACAGAGGGTATGTGTCTGGGGAATCATCATTAGAAGAAACAGAAGAACGAATTAATATCGAAAAATTAAAAGAAAAAGAGAAAATTTTGTTTTATCAAGAATTAATGTTGTATGAAGATGAATTACATGACAATGGAATTTCTTCATGCACAATTAAAATCGTTAGTATACAAGTTTAATATTTTTGATTTAATTTTGAGGGAGAGAGACAGAGAGAACTAAATGTTAAATTTATGGTTTATTTCTATTAATTTTTAATTTTCAGAGGGTGATGCCTAGTTCGTTTTTTGTTCTATTACGATTTTTCTTGAGGGTCGATAATGTTATGGTAAGGATCAACGATACCAGAGTGTTTCATGACTTCTCAACCAATTATATACTTAGAGAGTATACGAATAAGGAATGTGGAGTAAAGGATTTGAATTTACCATTAACAGTGTTTGGAGATCCAAACGCACTATCGCCGCATATGCCGTTACGAACATCGATTTTTGAAAAAATAACAATCCCTTCTGTACAATCATAAAATAAATAATGTAGAATATTTTAGTGGTAACTTATGTGTATTTTTACTAAATAAATACTTTTACTGTAATATTTCTGTATCATTTTTTACGACATTTACGGGCAATACCATTTTACAGTTTCAATATCTAATAATAAATGAATATTTGAATGGTAAGAGACTCCAATTAAATCGAAACGCAACCGTCATTTATAAATGAATATCTTTTAAGAGTTTTGTTTTGGTCAGCAGATGTTTGTTTGTACTCATCATGTTATGATGATATATATTATCATGTTATGAAAAAAATAATTGATAGCATTGTGTATTGTATCCCGGCGTTGCTATTCGATTCAAAACTCTGAAGACTCTCTTATAGAGACTTAAAGTATTGTATTTATTAATCTATTACATAAAAAAGAATCCATATTTTCCTATATCACGTCAAATATTAAGAAAGACTTGGATAATTGGACTTGGTTAAATGGATTCAACATTTCGTACCAAAAAACACCCTATTAAAGAATAAGATCACGCTGTAACTTTACATGGCAATAATATTCCAATTGTTTCGTAATTTAGATATCTTGGTGTTGTACTTGACAGAAAATTGCTTTGGACTCAACATATTAATTATTCAATTGGTCTCTGCGAAAAAGATATCAATTTTCTTAAAATGGTGTGTAAAAGATCGTGGGGCGCAGATCAAAACATTGCATTGAATTTTTATCGCGCCTATATAAGATCTATTATAGATTACTTCTGGTTGGTATATGGGTCAGCTAGCATAACCAATTTACGTAAACTTGATAGAATCCAATTTAAAGGATTATGAAAAGAACTGTGTTAGGATTGATGAAAAGCACTCCAAATGAAGCCACTCTAGTTCTAGCATCTGAAAACCCACTCTCATTGCGCAGAGAATATCTGGCAAGCAAATATTTCCTAAACCAACATTATCGTGGAACTTATAATACAAAAATAATAAATTATATACAGCTGATTTACCATCTACATACTTCATTAAAAAAAAAAAACTCTCCAGCACTTGCAAGAGTAATTATAACTCGCAACAAACTCAAGTTAATAAATTCTCCTTGTAATCTTATCTGGGAATCGTTGGATATACCACATCTAACAAGTGTTCTAGCTACAAATATTATTATTCCTAAATACCAAAACGAATTTTGTTACATTACTCACAAAAAAATCTTAAGTGGCTATTCAGACCATATTGTGATCTATATAGACGGGTCAAAATCACCAACATGTACAAATAGTGCTTACTTTGTACCAAAAATGAAGATTAAAAAATCATTTATTTTAAATAATCAATCCAGCATCTTTTCTGCTGAAGCATGTGCTATATACAAAGCCCTTGAATTGTGCTGTGAAAACCACTGGAACAAAATTGTCATATGCAGCGATTCACTGTAAGTATTACACTCGTTACAAAACTTTAAATTCACAATCAATAGCAATATATTCATATTAGAAATTTTTCAACAGCTACTTAAACTATCAGATCCATATGGTGTTAAATTTGTATGGGTTAAGAGACACTCAGATATTTTTGGCAATACTATTGCTGATTCTATAGCTAAAAATCCATTACAGCACTCACATAAGATGATAGAAGAATTCAACACATGTGACCTACTTGCCTATATCAAACAACATATTAAATTTAAATGGGACAGATGATGGATTTAGTTTGGTGAAAGCACAGGCACTAATTTATACAAATTACAACCAACAAAAGCTGTAAAACAATTTTACAAATATGTTACACTAAGCAGAAATACAGTGTCAAAAAGTAGATCATGGATGTTTTCCGAAACATCTATACAAAATAGGAGTTTTCCTAACAGACCGATGTGAATGTGGAACTAAAAAAAAATGTGGAACTATAGTATAGCTGATTTAAATCACATATGTTTCAAGTGCCCATTACATCGTAATACAAGCGCGTGGCTGCTAAAAGAATCGATAAAAGAGGGTTTAAGTACACCATTAAACGTAAATCTTCTATTAAGTGAAGACAATATAAAAATTTTTAAAATCATGATACTTCTTTTAAAAATTAAACTAAAGGTATGCGTCTAAAATTGATCGTAGGCATGAACATTTCTTTTGTATGTTTACCATATATGTTGCCCATCTACCTAAACGTGGTTTATGTCTTGTTTGTCGCTCTGATGAATCCCTGAGCGTGAAATGTATCCTTGTACAATCCTGTATGAATGAATACTAATATTCATATGTAATTACGTGGCTAAAGGGTCCAAGCCAAAGCCAAAAACCAAAAAATACTGTGTAGAAGGATTTTACGAAATCAGAAAATTTAACGATTATTTGAATTTTGTTTGACCGCCTTTATAGGTGTATACATAGGTATATTTCGAAGATCTCTATTATTTTTTTTTCTGTTTTTGTTTCTCTTTTCTCCTACTAAAGATTAAACAGGAATGCCGCACAACCCTGTCTGACTTTTCGTTTAAATTTAATATATTGATTGACTGATATATTGATTGATTTTAGTTAACCAAACTTTGTTTGCCTTATCTCAGATAAATAAAGATTGTTATTGAGAAATTTTGAGTATGTATCAATTAGGTACATACCCCCTTTACCATACTATTAAAGTATTGCTATGAGTGTTTTATAATACAGGTTTTAATTAATTATCTAAGTACCTATTCTAACAATAACTTAATGCATACAAAGCAAAATGATCAATAATCATAACGTAATTATATTTAACATATTGAGCACTTACAATAATTAAAATAAAGTAAATAAACCATCGGAAATTTCATTAGTTAACAGAATACTTTATTCATATATTGACTTAAGTTTCGGTATATAACAGCCCTTTTTGCCTTTGCAGAACACTTTTGCTCAATCAGAAATTTCAAGATAAATAAAATAAAGTATTATCATTTTAATGTTATACCTATACTGAATCATGGTTACAATGAACGTCTCAACAGTTTTAAAACCTCTCCTAAGGATATCAGCCATTTTTGGACTTTACAATGTCAAATTTTGTAAGAATAAAAAAACATTTTTTTGCGCCGGTACCAAATTCACGATGTGCTATTGTGTAATAATTTGGTCAATTTATTTGGGTAAGAAAGATTTTTTATTTCTTATAATTTATACATACTGTGGAAAGCTACATAATTAAAGATTGTTTAATTGTTTAAGATTAAGGTAATCTTTAATTGTTTAAATTTAGTACAAATATTAAAAAAAGAGCATAAACCATATAATAATCACAATGTATTATACACACTCAGATGCAAAAAAACGTAAGAAAATTTTGGTCAAATTTAAAGTATTTCAGTTTTTTATTTTTAGTATTATTTTTTTAATAAAATTTTGTATTTGACTTATTATACGGGGTTATTCGAAAGATGTTTTTTATCCTAACTTTGAAACATCCTGTGGAATAATGAAATTTTATTTAAATTCAATTAAATTAGTGCTTCTGAGATGTCGATATGACATTCTTTCGATATCAGTCACCAAAGCCCCCGTCGTCTTATTACAAATTAATAGTATTACAAGATAATAGTAATAATAGAAAAGTCGTAAATTGTGGATGACAAAGTCATTTCGCCCCTAAAAATGAACCAATCTATTTTTTCTAATGAAACAAAAAACATAATACTTAGGAGACATGATTGCAACCGAAAAATAAGGTTTTACGAAAATATTTGCAAACGGAATTATTCCACAGGATGTTGCAAAGTTAGGATAAAAAACCACCTTTTGATAACACCATAAAACGATAATATACGATTTATCCAAATGAAATACTTTAGAACAGATACAGGCTGGACTGATGATTTTAAATAAAAACTAGCATGTAGGTATATTAATCTATTATTTTACTTTTACATCACATCTTGGTACATTTTCACCTGCTTGTTCTACTGTAGGGTATTATTGATAACTAGAACATAAAAATACCATTGATTCGGAATGCTATTTCCAAGTACGGCTAGGATTAGGTGCACTTTTTAAGTTTCACGAAGACATTATGAAAAGTCAATTGTCTGAAAAACCTCCATTATTTTACATCGAAAAGAAATTAACTGATTTGCAGGCACAGTATTCAAAAGCGGCAGTAGGGACATTAAGAACGCTTTGTTCCCCATGAAATCTTCATCTCCTTCGTGGTGTTGGAACATCATACTCTGTGAGGAATCACCTTTAACTTCGCTCATTTCATAGTCATCGGTGGAATATCTAAGTTTAGATGACTTCTCGTAGGGAAAGGGTTCTTCTTCTATCTTAATAAGTTGTGGCATAAAATCAACACTTTCTGTATCTTCAGCTTCGGAAACGGGATCTTCAGTCTGTTGTTCCGATGTTTCAACACTTCTAAGTGCACCTCTAGATCTCATATGTGGTTTTAAGAAATGCAGGAGATCGTAGTATAAATATCTTCTTTTAAACTTAGCGGCCTGGCCACATTTTGCTATTCCATTTTCTATGTCAACCTGCCTCTTAAAGTGATCCCGGATGGACTTCCATTTCGTCTGAAGTTCCCGTTCTAAAACAAAAGAATATATTAATATAATAATTCTCATTAATTGTCTTAAGTTCTGCCTTGGTTCTCATTTGACATTTTAAAATGAGGATGATAGTTTGACAACTGATTTAAAATCAGTTAATTTTTACTCCAACAAAAACTTACATCACAGCTCTCATAACATCAAAAAATGAATTTATGAAATGAATAGTTGAAGTTATAAACAACTTAGATAAAAGAATAATAAGTCATGCTCACACTGATGCTCAAAATTATATACCACTGAATAAGAATACAGTGCAAACAATGAGATTGGGAAACACTTTACCTTTCAACGTTCCATCAAAAATTGGGAACAAGAAAACTATTGGTTGGCCTCATAATAATGCTCCTAGAAATACAGCGATTTACGGGCTGCTGCCCAATAAGATTAACAATGTTTACAATAATTATATTCCAATACCCTCATTTCAAAGAAATTTTCAATATATACCTACTTATCTAAAAAATGTTTTCAACCAGAAATAAATTCAGCCCTCGGTGCAAA